ATTCTTCTGCCCCCCCCCCCCGCCCCCCGCGCGCAGGTCCCGCTGTCTATCTGTGGACATAGAGGTTCTACCTTGGCTGGCTGCAGCTAGGGCATCTCGGGGACCCAGCATTCTTCGCCGAAGCCCGCCCCTTCCCTCGCAGCCCAGGCTTGGCGGCGTAGCTGGCTGACCGCAGCACTGCGCGAAAAAGCAATGGTGTGTGTGTGGGGGTGTGTGTGTGTGAGGGCTTGCCCGCTCAGACAAGCTCGACTCTCGTCCCCGCACACCTGCAATAGCTCATCCTAAACCCTGTACCCACCCACTTTGACATTTTTATTTTACTCTGACCCTGGTACCAGAGGAACTTTGATTTCCCACAAATTGGGGAGAAAATAACGACAACCTCCCCGGATCCAGCAAGGCCCAGCAAAATGCAGGTTCTTTTTGAAAAGGATTACAGGAGCAGTGACAGCCCACAATTTGAACAAAGAAAATGAAGAGAATGTGATGCCAGTTGCCCGAGGTTGCTTTCTGTTCACGTTTCTCAGTCTCCTCTTACTTAAAACAGTTTTTAAAAACCTCGCCTAAGCTCAGTAAGGGCACTCGCTGCACAGGCATTTAAAGGAACCCAGAGAATTGGGGCCAGTGAGCATCAGTTTGAATTTAGGCAGGAAAACACTTGCCTCCCCCCAAATCCAAGGTAAAGGAAGAAAAATGAAGAGCCTGTGGTTTTAAAGTAAGCCCACTGATTGGAGCAAGGTCAGTCTTTTCCGTATATCTGGAAAGCTGTCATTTACACAAAGGTGATATTTCTCAATCTGATGAGATTGTGTCTTGTTTCTGTGCTGAGATAGAAGGTAAAACAGCTAAATTTAACGCCCTCTCCTCTCCCAGATATTCAAACCACCAAGACATTAAGTCATCAAGTAAGTGAGGTTTTGATTCAGAGCCTCGGGTAGGAGTGGAGGACAGAAAGTCTCTCGCTTCCTTCCTCTCTTTCCCTCTCTCTTTCCCACTAATTTTAGAAGAGACTATGCCAGACAGTTAGATGTCCCTCACAAATGTATCAACATCCCCAGAAAGGTCAGGTATTACTATTACACCTAGCCTAATTACCCTTAAACCTCCTAATTGGGCAGAAGGAATACCCAAACTTCTTTTAGAAATGAATTTCATGGGGCGCCTGGGTGGCTCAGTCGGTTGAGCGTCCGACTTCGGCTCAGGTCACGATCTCGCGGTCTGTGAGTTCGTGTCTGTGAGTTCGAGCCCCGCGTCGGGCTCTGGGCTGATGGCTCAGAGCCTGGAGCCTGCTTCCGATTCTGTGTCTCCCTCTCTCTCTGCCCCTCCCCCATTCATGCTTTGTCTCTGTCTCAAAAATAAATAAACGTTAAAAAAAAAAAAGAAATGAATTTCACTTTGTGATAGCTTTTTGGCAATATATTGAACTGTGAGGAGGGAGTTTGCCATATGAAAACATTGTACTATCCAATCCTAGTGTGCAATTCTAACCATAGCTAGAACTGTGAAAATAAAAGGTGCCTTTATTTTGAAGTTAATAAGTGACGTTCAATTACTTTTGAGTGACTATATGTTTAAAGATAGCATTCAAGGAAGTAGCTTATTTTCTCTTCAGAAGGGTTGCTCATCATTTTCCCAACACCTTCTGATTTTTCTGTCCACCTGTGCCATCCTATTCTGAAAATGGCAAAGAGACAGCTTTCAAGGAAGGGTGTATGAATAGAACGAATTTGGAGAACTGACCTGCAGCCAGCCCAGGCCCTCCCTCACCCATGATTTATTTGGATCGTTGACTATTGGCATTTTATGTGGCCTTATGCTGCCAGCCAAAGGAGATGAACACAATGGTTATCTCACAGATTTTTTTTTTTAACCCCTAAACCCACCCTGGCCCATTTTACAGAGCAGAGATGTGTTTGGAATTTGAAAGTAGCTGACAACGATTTTGTGGATTCAAAATGTTAATAATATTAGTTGGAAACATCTGCAAAAGTCAGGATTTTGGGGCACAGTACATTATTTAGCAATGGTACCCTGGTAACTAATGTGGAATCTGAGTGGTGATTTTATTTCCAAAAAATCAAGAAAAAAAAGAAATTTCTGTACTCTGAAACCTCACCAAAACACTAAATGAAGGAATTTCAGTATGACTTAGTGAAAAACCAAGAAAAAGAGAGTTCAATTATTTTCATGCAAACTTAAAGTAACTCTTAATGTTTTCTAGCAAAAATCCTCCACGATCTGTTCTAGTGTGTAGATGAGATTACTTTGTAACTATTGACATATATTTAATTATTACAAGAATGTTAGACTTTTCGTCTTTCATGTTTTAAGGACTATTTTCAAGTTACATACAAGTCAGCTTTAACTTAGGTGAAATCATCACAACTTTCTGAATTTAGTTTTCTCTCAACTTCTTATTGATGCTGATGGCCAGTTCTAAGATTGAGAAATATATTTACTACCATATTCATCTTAAAAAAAATTTTTTTAACGTTAATTTATTTTTGAGAGAGAGAGACAGACAGAGTGTGAGCTGGGGAAGGGGCAGAGAGAGGGAGACACAGAATCTGAAGCAGGCTCCGGGCTCTGAGCTGTCAGTACAGAGCCCGACACGGGGCTTGAACTCACAAGCCGCAAGATCATGACCTGAGCCGAAGTCA